CCTTGTCATGTCAAAGGAGGGCGGGCCAACCAGTTTGCAGAGTGCCAGGGGTCTCGCCGACGAAGTGGGGGAACAAGGTTGTGTCGTCTCCTCATTCGCACCGTGGTCTCGCCTGGGCGATCTGCTGCGACTGACAGGCCTCGGGGGAGGAGGGCCTCGGGGAAGTTCCCCTGGGGCCAGTGGTGGTGGCGATCCACTGCTAGACCGCAGCATACTGTCTGTAGAACTGTCGTCGCCTTCGCCCTCATCTCCCGATTCAGTGTCCTCGTCTGTGTCCGAAGGTCTTTGCAACGAGAAGGTAAGCACCTCCCTGTGTCGGACTCGCACTCGGCCATGTCTGGCTGGCTCTCCTCCAGTAACCGTCAGCACCCAATCTGCCAGCCCCTGAATTTGTAGGCCGTCGATGTATGCCTGGGGGTCAAAGATCACAGGGGTCCGGACCCATTGCGGGAAACATGCAAGCGGTCGCAGGTCCACGAAAATGATGCATGACTCCTCCTCCGCCGGCCTAGCTCTATTGATGATCACAGCCGCCTGCTCCCAAATGGTGCGGCCTCCATGAGATAGTGCCTGGAGTCTTTCCTCTGGCAGATACACCGTGATCTCCTCCGGGTTGAGCTCCAGCACTTCCGCTGCTACAGTCTCGAGCGACCTGAAGTCCAGGGGCTCGATTTCATCCACCACCTGGTCCTGGGTGGACTGAAAGACATTGTGTAGTCCGTCCAGCTGGGTTGGAGGATCCACCTCCGAACTCCATCTGTCTGGCTGTTCCATGCGAACATCCAGTGCATCCGACCATGTACAAGGTCGTCCTTGTAGCACCACCTTGATGATACCACCAGTCACCGCCGACATGCTTTGACCCGGTGCCAGAGGAGTGAGGCTGCCATAAAGATAGAAATCCAGCTGTTCCTCCTGGTACTCCGGCAGGTTGTTACGAATACAAGCATGGTTGACTCGCCCATCAAAGTATACCGCATAGGCTGTGCCGCCCAGTGCCCTGGTGTCAATCACCAGGACTTTCTTGGCCGAGTCTCTCAACCAAGCTGGCTGAGCAATGAAGCTGCCGTAGTAGTCCCCCAATTGAGGAATGGTTGGGTGCAGGTCATCATAATGTTCCGGAATGACCGTGCAGGTATCCACCAGGGCTTCTTTCATGTAGGCCAGCGACAGGGGTCTCGGCAGCTCCAGATCCACTATCTCCGATTCACAGTACACCGCAGCAATCCATACGGTAACATGTAAATTCAGCTCTTCCAGGGTGGGCTGCACTGGTTCTCCAATCAGGGCCGGAGGGGTGACCGCATATTCTCGAGGGGGAGCCTCAGCTCGATTGTGAAAGAGGGGCAAGTCATCCACAAATCGCTGTGCCGCCTCCGCCAATTGCTCTGCCAGGGTTTGTTGCCCAGCCATCCACAGCTCTAGATCTGTAGGCATAGGAACACCACCGGGCTCATAGTCCTTGGCCGCCTCCACCAAGAAGTTGGTGTGATGTGCCGAGTACAGGATGCCGAGGGCAAAGCAGATCTTTCCAGGCATGCCTCCAAAGCTTGCCCTTCTGCGACTGCTCTGGCAGCAGCTCGACGTAAGAGTCAGGAGCAGCCCCCATCCTCCGATCGCCAGGAGGGTCAGCATGAGTCCCGCACCAGGTCCGGACAGGGCCACCATAACAGATAAGACTGATGCAGCCACCACGTCCAGACAGGGCACGAGGAAGTCCATGAGGTCATAAACCCTCACAGTTGTAGGGCGCCAGCAGGAAGTACCCAATCCTACTGGCGCTGGAAAACAAGCAATGACATCCACGTCTTGCCATAGTAGTTCCAAGGGGACATACCGAAAAAGCCCCTGCATAGAGCCAGTGTCCGTATCCCCTTTGCCTCGGGGTCCATGGCAGCTGGCAAGTTGATAAAGCATCATCCATGATCTCCACCATTGCGAGGTGGCTCCCGTCTCCTTCGCAGCCAGGGTGGCTCCTTCAAAAGGCCACCGAAGACTGACACGACCCTCTGCAAGGGACGGATCTACTCCACAGTCGCCTCCGGGCCAGCGTCCATCTTTTTGGGGAGCTCGGAAATCATATCCTCCTCGTCGTCGGTGTCCAGGGTCTGGGCATCTGTCCCGTTGCCTGCCCCCTTGAATCGGACCCGGTCGAGTTTGGCCGCGAGTGTCGTCCCGGGCCTGAGGCTGGGCACAGAATGCCTCCCTTTGAGCTTGATCGGAACCCTCGGGGTCCCTGACTTTGCACGCTGGGGCGGCGAGGGCTGGCCTACATTGGCACTGGGCGATGTCATGTAGGGGTCGTTGAACACCTCCGCTGTCTCCCGCTCCTCCTGCTGCTCTTTCTGCCTTTGCAGAGCCACAGCAGCAGCCTTGGCCAAAAATCTGTCCAGCGACTGTCTCTGGCCACGTCCATCCTTCTCGGCCACACAGGGCGGGGTGCGTGGTGCAGGCCGGTCCGTGCCTCGTCGCTGCGGGGTTCTCGGGGGTGGCTCCAAGACTTCCTGTAACTGCTTGCTCAGCTTCTCCGTAAAGGTCTCCTCGATATCCTTCATATCGACATCGTCGTCGTCGCAACCTTCCAGCAGTTTGCCCCATTCGTTCAGAATGTCCTCCGGCAGCTCTGCAGGTCGCTCTTCCTTCAAGCTGGCTGGATCTGCAATCGCCGCCTGAAGGGCTCGAAAAGCATCTCTCTGTGCCTGCTCCTGCTGGGCAATTTCTTCTTCCAGCCGTTCGAGATCTTGTCGGTGGCGGAGTCGTTCTTTGACATAGGCCTGCTGGAGCTTGTCTTGGAACGTTTTCCAGCACTGCTTGGCCGCCTCCATGTCCTCCTCCGCCTTTCGCATGCGAACCTCTGCTTTCCGAGCCACAGTAACCAGACGTTGATAGCCTTTTGCGAGGCCCATCTTCTTCGTCAGGGGTCTGTCGTTCTCGGCTTCGTCCTGGTCCCTGGTAGATCGCGATCCGGCCGAACTCATCATGGTATAGGTGGGGAACACGGGCTCCTCCGAAACTCGTCGCTGCTGTCGCCAGTCCTCCCATCTGCCACGCGATGACGAGGGTTGCCGCCAGGAGTCTGGATCCTCCCCATACTTGCTGGGCCATTGTTCTCCTTTCCAGCCCCATGATTTCGCTTGCTTGCCGCCGCGTCCCATGGGCAGCCTAAGCTCACGATATTCTGGCTTGGTGTGGTGCTGTGCCAGCAAGTGCAGAGCCTTGAAGGGAGGGTGCCGCCCCTTCAAGCGGGCTGTCCAGATTGTCCTCCTTGCTTTCGCCCGTCTGGCTCGGAGCCGCCTGTGCCACGGAGGCGAGCCCGGGGTCGGTATGGCGTGCGAGAGCACTTGGGGCTCCTGGCAATGCAGGCCCGCTCCTGGGCCGCTCGATCCAGTGCCCTGTGAATATATATATATATATATACATACATACACGTGTGTGTATAAATAATATATAAGCCCTAAGCATACCTACATGACGAAGCAAAGCACCGCTGCTCCAAAATCGGATCTCATGGCTCGATGCCAGGAAATCCTCTGACTTGTGCAGGCACTGCCGGGCTGAGCATGGTCCCGGGGGCCGGGAGACCGCAGCCTCAACGCATGATCTCAGCTTTGCCGCCTACCACGACTCATGCTGGCTATGCCCCGCAGATCTTGGCCTCAATCCTTGCTGTTGTGCGTGGCATTTCACAGGTTTGGCAGGCGCATGCTGCTACAGTCCATGCTCCCACCGATCCAAGGATTCTTTCAGCGCCGGCAAGTTTCCGGCTGTCTGATGGCCCGGCCTTGCTTTCCCAGCCTGCGGTCGCGGCGGCTCATTCTTTCCCTGCAGTTGAGGGCCCATTTCTGTCGCAGGCTGCAGTCGACATCGCTCAGTCGGTGCCAGTTCCTGCAGTTGAGGGCCCAAGCGTGGTTCAGAACCACTCGGCACGAGCCGCAGGAGCCACTGGCACCCTGGCACTACAGGTGCCAGAACACCGGCGCCCGCTGGCTCGCAATCGCATTCGGGCTGAAGTGGCCGAAGCCGACTGAGGGACTAGGGACGTGTGGTTCGCTGGAACCAGCAGTAGGACCCTGTACGGAATCCACCAGTCCAGCCATCCCACACAGTGTGGGGGTGTGCTGATCGCAACAGCACGTCGCCGATTTTTCGTTTAATGCCAATGTACAGAAGCAGTGAGGGCATTCACCATCACAAGGCATGGTAGAGCCGCCCACAGAGGTTGGGCTGCAAGACAAGCAACGGCTGTTTCGTGGGCACGCGCTTTCATACGAGATAGGAGCCAGGGTGTTGGAGGCAACTTGCATGGTGACATCATGCAGCACGATTGTAAGGCCTTTGAGGCAGTCGCAGGGTGACGTGTACAGCAGTGCTAGCACCCTAGGTAATTCGAGCCATTAAGACATGGCAAATCGTAGATGCAATGCCATGCCACATCGCTTTGGTTGAGCGTCTTCTCCTTCTGACAGGAAACCGGAGTCAGACTTTCTGGCTGCATTTAGAAGCCAGTCGCAAGGCTGCGTGAGACACGAAAAAGTGATGCTCTACGTCCGAAGTAGCGCAGGTGTGATAGAGGACTGTCTGCGCGCGGGGCACTTGCAACATATGCCACAATAAGTCTCCAACTCCACCATGCTTTCCCCGTGGGCGTTCCTGTCTTGCGACAGGCATCGCGACTGTGATAACTTTCGGGTGTCAGCTGATGTGTTGCAGTCATGATCACCACTTTGCCATCGCAGGGTCAAGCGGTGCGACGACGTGCGCACAAGCAGGCACGGCATATCTGGCGGAATGCAACCCATCTTCGAACTGCTGTGCTGGACGAACTTAACAAGCAAACGGCAGCAAACGAGATTGGAAGAGCTGCTGGTTTGAGAGGTTCGCTGTCATACCGTCGGTCAGCACATGTACTCTTGAAAGGCTCAAGCAGATTTGTATAAAGCCACTGAGACACAGTAGACAATTTTTGCGGGCTTGGACCGTGGAATGCGCTGAGGAGCGCCATGCAGAACGAGTTCACCTTTAAGGTTGACTTGTGCCGCACAGGAGACACACCACTGGGCATAGACTTGATCCTCGCCAAAACCAAACTGGATGGGAGTTTGTTGGTGGTGGAGAAGGTAAGGCCTGGCGGCTTGATTGAGGAGTGGAATCGTAAATCTGTCGGGCCATATCGCGTTCAAGCAGGAGATTTGATCGCGAGTGCCAACGGCGTGCAAGATGATGCAAATGCTATTTCCAATCTTTTGCGCAATGCTCAAGACACACTTCGCATCACCGTGCTGCGCAAGCAGCTCCTGGATTCACAGTTTCTGCCACAGACGCAGGTACCGCAGGTCATGCCGGCCGAGCAGAGGCCAGGCCTGCAGAGGTTCGAGTCTGCAGTGGGCTCTAGGACCGTAGCAAACGCACAGAATCAAGGCATGAGCCAAGGCATGGGTCAGCAGTTCGGCCGAATGGGCATGGCGCCTCCCGCGACAACAGCGCCGTCCATGGAGGTGCCGAGCAAGACAGGTCCCGAAGGCTTCACCTTCGAGGTGACTCTCCATAAGCCCTATGGAGCATATCTAGGAATTGACATGCTTCCGGCACCCGAGCTTGCGTGCTTGATGGTCAAACAGGTCTTCCAGGGAGGCGTAGTATTCGCATGGAACTGCCAGTGTGAAGGCAATGCCTTCACTATTCAACCCGGGGACTACATCGTGCGTGTGAACAGCGTTTTTAGCGATATAAAGGCCATGATGGAAGAGATGAGGGCGAAGTCTGAGCTCCTGGTCACCTTGATGAGGAGGAGGACATCTGACACTTCCAGAAAGGGTGGGAAGGCCTTCCTGGGCGGCGGTGGCAGCGATGCCGGACGGGGGCTTCAAATGCCGGATGCGCTCTCAATGCCAAGCTCCCGGCTTTCGCAGCTAGGTGGAGCCAGCGAGGACCTCGGGGCCAATTACTGGCAGCAGGAGAGTCAGAGTCAGAGCCTTCCAGCAGGCCAGCCTTTCACGTTTCAGGTGGACATCGAGAAGCCCCTGGGCCGTAAGCTTGGTGTCGATGTGATGCTCGTGACTGGGCCTGGCTCATGTGGCTTGCTAGTTGGGCAAGTAGCTCCAGGGAGCTACGTAGATCAGTGGAACCAGCGCAACCAATGGCCACTAAAGATTCAGAAGGGGGATCTCATTGTTGCTGCCAACGGCATCAACGCGTGGACCTCCTTGCCAAGGATGGCTCAGGAATTCGACGTTGATGTTCAGCGGGTATGTTTCACTGTACAGCGTTCGGGTGCTGCAATGCAGAGTTCGGCACCACGAAGCTCTTCTTCCGTGACTTCACCCCCGATGCAGCCCGGTATGTCGGCTATGACTTCGCCGGCACTCGATGCGCCCGTAGAGAACAGTTGGTGGCATGGCATGTCTGGGATGGCTCCTGGCAACTGGGTCAAGCCGCTGGGGACGTCACCCGTGCCCCAGGAGAGGCCAAGCAAGTCTGGCATCCAGCCCGTGCAGCTAAATGTCACTGGCCGCAGCGGCTACATGCAGTCCTTACCTGCACCGGACGTGCCCGACGATTTGGTGATGCCTCCAGGTTTGGCCGCCAGAGCCGGACAGCCTGCGACCATCCCTTTCGAGATGCAGTCCAAGGAGGCCAGACCTTCCACAAGGGTGTGACGGTGGGACCTGCCTGTGCAAAGCGACAACGAAACCTGGCAACTAAAAACCTTGGAACCGTTGGTGGTCATTGCACTTCGACGCTAAAGCTAAGGTTGGTTCTTTTCCCTAGGGACAGGGGCACCAAAATTCGAGCAAGACCACATCTTACATCACAGCCCCAAGCCCTACCAGCAAGCCTTGGGAGGCAACCACCAACTCGTAGCTCTCTTTTTTGTCATGTTTTTGGGGTTCCTTACGTGCCACAGCACTGGACCGGCCTGCCAGACCTCCAATAAAATGCCGGCAAAGATCCCCGAGATGGCGTCTGCTATGCCACGAGCTACCTGGCCTAGTAAAGTTTGGGTGTCACCTTCGTACGCGGCGCATGTTAATGCTCGACAGGTGTGAGAACACAGATCTCCGAGGGTGAAGTGGCAAGATTATGATGGTCGTCATGGGTCGTCGATTTTGCAACCAAAAACTTGGAGTAATGTCATCTGATTGTTTTTTGGACTTGATCTTGAATGCTCTAATAGTCTAATGCTCTAAGGAAGCGCGAGGGACAGCACTCGAAGTGAACGCGGCTGCAGCTGCTGCGGATGACGCGGAGGCAACAGCTACAGCCATGGCGGCAGCAGTGGTCGAGGCCAGGCCATTGGTAGCCGATGGGGACAGCGCCCGGTCTACTTGTGAAGCCGTGCTTGGCCATGGTCCCTTTTTTTCAGTTTGCAGCGCCGGAAATAGCTGTCAAATCCGAATCCTAATCCTACGCCTGCAACTCGGACCTCTGGCGTGCTGCAGGACCTGGGGTTGCACGACGACCGACAGGAAGCGAAGTCCAAGCTGCCACCGGCAAAGCTTCTCCTTTGCACTTTGCAGCTCGGCGTGAGTCTATTGAGGCTCCGAGCTTCCCCCGGTCGTCAACAGAGGTTTGGAAATTCAGGAAGTAGCTAGAGCTTGCGCGGGTTTAGCTTCTGGCTTTGGTACTTTGCGACACATGAGGGAGCTGCAAACCATTGTCCAGGGAGAGGCTATCTCCGTAGTATCAGAAAGGCTTCGATATCAGTAAAGACGAAGAGCTTCCAACACCAGCTGCATGCGCTGCAGCAATGGCAATGCCGCAGCGGCTGCAAAAGGCAGGCGGTTAAAAGGCAGCAACCAACCACTCCAACACTAGGACAGCAGCAGCAACAGCAGCAGCAGCAGCACCAGCAGCAGCCACCACAACTACACCGACACGGACTCGGACACCCACACCGACACCATCAACAGCAGCCACAGAAGAAGAAGAAGAAGAACAACACCAACACCAACACAAACACCAACAAAGACAGCGGCAGCCGCAGCAGCAACAGCAGCAGCAGCAGCAGCGGCAGCGGCAGCGGCACCACGCCAGCACCAGCACCAGCACCAGCACCAGCAGCAGCGGTAGCCGCAGCAGCCCCAACCGGCAACACCAGCAGCCACAACAACAACTGCTGCTGCTGCTGCTGCCACGAAGACGACGACGACCTACCACTTCTACCACTACTGGCACTACTACCGCTACTGCACCTACTACCACTGATGCTACTCCTCCCGCTGCTGCTACTACTGCTACTACTGCTACGGCTACTAC